TGAAATTATGAACTGTTACGCATGTATTATTTTATCAGAATTCTACATGTTCATAGACTGAAGCATCAGAGAGTTCGGCAGTGCTGGCTAACAAAATAAAATAACACGAGATATAGCAGGCTGGCGGAGGGCCTGACACCCCCTTCCCAGACTATTCTGGCGGAGTCTCCTCTCCAGGTTTATCACATCTCCAAATAACGCGTCTACCTGCCCCAAAGCATGCAGTCGTGGAACACTTCGAATGTGTGCACAAGCAGGCGGAACCTTTGGGTCTCCATCTCCAACTTCCGAGCTGTCAGGTGGCGGCGGTCACTCACCTCCCCCAACCCCGTGATCATGAAGCGTGCCCCACAGGTGACATTATTTTCCTGCACATATTTCCGTGTGCGTCTCTAAAGGATGAGGGATGCCCTCTGAAGATGTGTCACTATAACATCGTTATCGCAGTTACGAATTTACACTAATTCCTCCATATTGTCCAACACTGTTCAGTTTTCCATGTGCTTTATGATCTCTTTTTGGTTTGCTTGTTTGATAACGTTGCTCCTTGAATTTTCAGTTTTAAGCATCACTGAATTCTCACTATGGCCGATAAGGTGTTAGCTCTCTTCACTCCTGTGCCCCCTAGCTCCCCATGCGTGCAGCAGTACTTTGGGTGAGGCCCTGTCCACCCCTGGGTGCAAGGAAGCTGCGGCTCCTTTTCCTGCCTCTTTGTAGATGTGAGCGTGTTTCTCAGTGTGAGTGTGTGCAGCATGTATGTGAATGTGGGAGAGAGTGTGCAGGCTCATTTTCTTTGCCTGGGTTCTGCTAACTGTTTACATTGTCTCCCGCTTCCTTCCCTCGGGCCAGAGTCAGCTCCAGCCCCTTCAGGCACAGCTGTGGCCTGCCCCCCACCCACGCCCCGTGCCCATGCCCTACCTGCCCGGAGCCCACACCCTGCCTGCCCCCAGCCCACCCTTACTGTGTTGGAGCATTTATTCCAGTAGCTTCCTGAGGAGGGGGTGCATGGAGGTAAATGTTTAGGGAAAGTTTGCAGGTGTGGAAATGTCTTTTTTCTACCCTTATACTTAGGTGGTCCAGTCCTGTCACTACAGAACCAACCACCCTAAAACCCACTGGTACAAAACAGACACTTTATTATGATGACAGATCCTATAGGTGGGCACAAGGGACCGTGTGTTTCTGCCATTTGATGTCTGGGGTCTCAGCTGGGAAGACGACCTATGGGGATCACGCAGGGTTGGGGCGGGGGTCATCTGAGGCCTCTTCTCTTGCATAGCTGCCCTGGGCGGGGACCCTGACTGGAGTGCCTGCCCGTGGCCTGTGTGGCCCTGGCTTCCTCACAGCATGGCAGCCTCATGCGGCTGCCCACGTGGTGCCCACGACTCTTAGCACAGGTGTGCCCGGGAGCAGGACGCTGCTGGGTGCCAGACGGTGCGGCTGGGCCACACTCCACTGCCCAGCGCGGTCACACGCCTGCCCAGATTCCCAGGGCGGGACGCAGAGCCTACCTTTCAGTGGGAGGCATCTCCAAAAACTTGTAGCCGTGTAAGAGCCACACACTGGGTGTAGACCCTTGTTCGAGAGTCACTGCCCTCAGGTGTGGAAGACATTCTCCGGTGCTGCAGTGGGGAAGTCCGGGGACATTCACGTTCCTTTCTTTCCTACCTCCTAGGAAGCTTGGAAGAACATTAGGGCCCTGCTCTCACCAAGCACCTGTCCCACCCCCCCACACGCGGTCACTGACGCCACCCTGCACCTTGCCTCGCACCTCACGGAGCTTCCACCCTGCGCCTGCTGTCAGCTGGGAGAGTCTCTTGGATTTGCTTTCTTCTCTCTGTTCTTTTTTCTTCTCTTTTTCTTGCTGAGATTTCTGTTGTTTGGATGCTGGACTGGTCCCCAAATTTTCTTCTCTTTTTCCCTCCTAATTTCCATCTCTGTGGTTTGTCACTCTGCGTTTTGGGCGATGTTCTTAACATTGCATCCATCCCAAATGGTCTGTTGAATTTTCCATTTTGCAGTAACATTTGGTTCCAGGCGTGCTTGCTCATGTTTCCGGATGTCTTGGGGCTCCGTGGGATTAGTGAAGAATACATATAGCCACGCCCTTGCCCCCAGCTCTGTGGCCACGGTGACAGTCGTGTGGCCACAGCCTGACTCCTGTGCCCCGTGCTAACCCTGGCTTCTCTTTCCAGGTCCTGTTTGCAGGGGAAGCCACACATCGGGCGTTTTACTCCACCACGCACGGGGCTCTGCTGTCTGGTTGGAGGGAGGCTGACCGGCTCATCGCTCTGTGGGACACCCAAGCGCAGCTGCCCGAGCCCCGGCTCTGAGCCCTGCTTCCATTCCGAGCTGGGCTCTGCCCCTCCTGTGCCGGGGGAGGCTGCCACCATCCTTTCTCGACAGCGTCTGGCCTGGCCAAGATTTGGGGATATTAATGACAGCCTTCCTTTTTTTGGCGACTGGGGACAGCTCTCATTTCTCACGTGTATCATGGAGTCTGGTCAGGGCCGAGCTTGAGCTGAGTGCGAGGTCTTCCTGGAGAAGTGTGATGCAAGGCGCCAGCACTGCTGCTGAGGGCGTGCACATAAAGTGTGTTAAAGCCTCTGTGTGTCCTCATCCTTCCACCTCAGGGCTGCAGCATCTGTCGCTTCTGTCTTCGCCTGGTCCCAGGCTGGGGTCCCCGCAGGGCCCGGTGCCCCCTCCCCTGAGTTCCCTGGACTTTGGGTGCTGTGGTCGCCCCTGGTCCCAGGCATCTCCTGGTGTCCCGAGCTCTCATTGCTGGTGCTCAGGACCATGCCGACGAGATACCTTAGCAGACACCCATGGCGTGCTGGGCTGGGTGTCGGCCAGGTGGTGGGAGCCATGAGTGCATGGGGCACCCCATCCTGACTTGGGGCCAGAGGTTTTCTGGAGGAAGTGGATGAACAACAAGGCCTCACGAACGCAAAGGAGGGGGACAGCTGGTGTGTCAGGCTGAGTGGGGAGCATGCCAGTGCAGCGGGCAGTGTTGGGGTGAGAGTGTGGGGATGCCCTGGGTGTTCTGCTCAGCTGACCTCAGCTTCCCTTCCTCCAACTGTCCCAGCGAGGGGGTCGAAGTACCTCCATTTTCACAGCTGGGGAAAGCACAAAATACCTAGAGGTCGAGTTCAGTAATTGCCCAGTCTCACGACTGCCGGCGTAGAGCTTGGGCATCGTCCCAGGACAGGCCCTGAGGGGAGGCAGGTGTGGCTGGAGGGTGGCACTTTGGAGGAGGCACTTTGGCCACCCTCAGAGGGTGCCTGTGAGGCAGGAGCCTCAGAGGCCTGGACTCTATGCTGCAGGCGGTGGGGCTGCTGGCCCTGCACCCACTTTGAAGTCAGTGGCTTGTGCCTGTCCTCGTATCTCTGGCTGCAGTCTGTATCCTGCTCTGGGGTGGGGGCACCCTGGCTCCAGGGGTGAGTGTATGTGTGTTCGGAAGAAGGGCTTTGGGGCCAGGCCTGTCTGGGCTCTTCTCCAATCCCGAGTGGTGCCCAACATGCCCTCGGCCCCAGCACACTCTGCACAGGCCCTTCTCATACCTTCCCCTCCCAGATCAGGTCGCCCCTCCAAGGGGTCTTCCTTGCCTCCACCCTAGAGCTCTGTATGTGTGTCTACTGCTGTGTGTCACTGGAGTGATTTTGCACGGGACACCTACCAGTGAGCTTTGGTTTTTTTTTTTTTTTTTTTTTTTAATGTTTATTTTTGAGAGAGAGATAACGAGTGCACAAGCAGGGGAGAGGCAGAGAGAGGCAGACACAGAGTCTGAGGCAGGCTCCAGGCTCTGAGCCATCAGCACAGAGCCTGACGCGGGGCTTGAACTCACGATCTGTGAGACCATGACCTGAGCCAAAGTTGGACGCTTAACCAGCTGAGCTGCCCAGGTGCCCCAACAGGGTTTTACTTTAGTTTTACAGTCCTAGGTCTATGAGAGATTGCAGCTTCCCTCAGGTGCAATGATCTGTATTGTTGACATCCATCCAAGAGTTCATTGAGCCACATGCTTTTGGGAGACATTTCTTGTATCCAGAGTGACAAAGGCTGTCCTCTTGGTGGGATGGCTGCTCTGTGATGGGGGGCTGAGGGCTGGGTCCTCTTCTGGTGACTAACTCATCTGGAGGCCACCTGGGAAGGCTGGTGGATTTGTTTCTCCCATGGTGGATTTGTTTCTCAATCTCTGGAATGTTTAGTGCTGAGAATTAGGAGGTTTAAGACCATCACAGTAGTGACATTTTTGTGCGGAGAATCCAAGCGTGTTTGCAATTTTAGGATCTTGTTTCAAAAATTACATTTAGAGTAATATTCTTGTACCCAGTGTACGCTGAGTAGCTGGTTGGACTCAGATTAAAGCTAAAACCTGGGGCGCCTGGGTGGCTCAGTTGGTTGGGCCTCTGACTTCGGCTTAGGGCACGATCTCGTCCACACGTGAGTTGGAGCCGCGTGTGGGACTCAGGGCTGACAGCCTGGAACCTGGAGCCTGCTTCGGATTCTGTGTCTCCCTCTCTGTCCCTCTCCTGCTTGCAGTCTGTGTCTCTCTCACAAGAATAAATAAATAAATTAAAAAAAAAAAAAAAAGCTAAAACCTGACTACATTTACACAGAGTACGCGCGCAGTGGGAATCCCAGGCTCAGTGTATTAATAGGCTTAATGTAGCAGAACTGCAGTCAGTATTTGCAAACGCTTTGCTTACAACCTGGAGTACTTGAAAAAGAGGATATTACATATATAGGGCACATTTAAAATGTTTGAAAATTTTAACCAAGTTTGTAAAAAGAGGTCAAACATTGGCAGGGGACAGCTAAGTTATATTACAGTTATACTCAGAATACATTTAGGGAAGAACTGGAAAACACTAACGTATTCACGAATTCTCGGGACCCCTGAGAGTCTCCAGAGTGCACAGGCCCCAGGTGGGCTCGTAGACCCGCCCCCTGGGCTCCTTCCGGCGCACAAAGAAGCGTAGTGCGCACGCGCGGACCGCGCGTCCGTCTCCCGAACCCCGGAACCACGGGGCCGGATGGTGGGCCGGTCGGAGAGGTCCGTCGAGGGAGCCGTTCCCCCGCGGCGCTCTGGGTCGCGGCGCCATGAGGCTAGCCTTCCGCGCACTGGGCGGCGCCGCCGGGGTCGCCTGGCGAGAGAGCTTCCCCCTGGGCGGTCGCGACGTGGCGCGCTGGTTCCCGGGCCACATGGCCAAGGGTGAGCGGGGCCTGGAGGGGCCGGTGTTTGCGCGGTGAGGCCCGGTGGCCCCGGCGCCCGCTCGCTCGTCAGGCTGTCCGCGCGCGGGGCGGGAGGCGGCGGCGGCCCGGGGGCGGACCTGAGCCCCGAGCCCCAGCAAGTGCCTTCTGCCACTTTGTTCCCCCAAGCCTCCGTTTCCACATCCGAGTCCACAGAGACGTACTTTTCCGAGTCTTGTTTGAGCACTCGATGAAATGGTGGTAGGAAAGCCCTCGCCGAGCTGCGAAGTATTCAGCTATTATCGTTGCAACACCTTTAAGACACGGCCACTGCTGTCTTCTGCCTGAAGCCCTCGAGGAGTTTCTTACTGTTGATTTGTAAAAATGGGCCCGAGAAGACGCGCGGGGCCGGCGCGGTCCTCCGTGTCAGCGATCGCCGGGTCCCGCTCCCGCAGCCCTCAGCGCGCTCTGACCTCCGCGTAAGTGGTGAGCCGGTGCCCGCTGCGCCGGCCCCTGCGGAGTGCGGTGCGTCGGTGTCCGCCCTCGGGACGCGGACGTCCGAGGCTATGCGGAGGACCCGGTTGAGCGGGGGGGTCACCGTGCTGAGGGACACTGCGGGGGAGGGGGTGGTTACTTTCGTTGTGGGTGTTGTTCCTGGTTAATGGTTAAGGGGGAGTTCACTGCTGTGCGGGTGGCTGAAACTTAGGCAGCAGCATGTCCCCACAGCGTGCAGGGCCCAGAGAGTCGGGTGGTCCGAGTTACCCTTTTAAGGCCGAGACCAAGACCCATAGGAGGTTAAATACTGCAGCTGGAGCCCTCCAAGTGGCTCCACCCCAGACATGCTTTTGCCCTTCAGGCAGGACCTCTTCTTTTTGGAGACACCGTTATTGAACTTGGAAGAGGCCCTCAGCAAGGGTGTATCAGTTATGGTGACTTAGGACACTGCACTCAGGTGTATTCTCTCTAGGTGGTGTGTCATTCCGGACCATTCAGTGTCACCCCATCACTCTTGAAAAGCCATAGACGCCTTCCCTTAGGCATCTTTCTTCTGTTTTCCAGGGCTGAAGAAGATGCAGAGCAGCCTAAAGTTGGTGGACTGTATCATCGAGGTCCATGATGCCCGGATATCCTTTAGTGGTTGTAATACTGTGGTTTATGATAAGAAATCTGTATATACACACATGTAGGTATATGTTGTATATGTGTGTATATATGTGTGTGTGTGTGTATACACGTGTGTGTGTGCATATATGTGTATGTGTGTGTGTGTGTACACACACACACACACACACACACACATACACATATATATATTTGGGCTTTGTCCCTGTTTCTGGCACAGAGCTCCTAAAATCCTGGACATTTTTTTGTAAGTTTATTTATTTTTGAGAGAGAGAGAGGGAGAGAGCAAGAACACTGACAGCAGAGAGCCCGGCGCAGGGCTTGAACCCACGAACTGTGAGATCATGACCGAGATCATGACCTGAGCTGAAGTCTGACACCAACTGAGCCACCCAGGCCCCACAAACCCTGGGTATTTCTTAAGTGATGAGAGTGGTAAAAAAGTGTCTGTTGTTAGGTGACTTTTGGAAAGCCACTAAGTCACCTAAGTTCCAGGGCTGGTTGCCAGGGGAGGTGAGAGTGGCTGGAAGTTGGATGGATTGCAATGGCCACTGATTTCATTAATCAGGCCTATATAGTGAAACCTCAAGAAAAACCTAAAAGGACAGGGTTCAGAGAGCTTTTGGGTTGGCAAACACGTGGATACAGAGGGAGAGTGGCACATTCAGAGCACGGGAGCTCTGTGCCCCACTCCCTCATACGTCGCCGTATTCATTTCTTCTGTCTGACTTCCTGAGTTACATCCTTTTATAATAAGCCAGTAATCTAGTAAGTAAGATGTTTCTCCGAGGGCTGTGGGCTGCTCTAGCAAGCTAATTGACTCTGGGGAGGGGCTTGTGGGAACCTCCCGTCTGTAACAAGTTGGTCAGAGGCACCGGTGACCAACTGGACTCGGGATTGGCACCTGGAGGGAGTGGGGTGGGGAGGTGGCACATTGTGGGACTGAGCATTAACCTGTGGGGTCTGACTCTTCCTCCAGGTAGATAGTGTCAGAGTTGAGTTAACTTGTAGGATGTCCTGGTAGTGTCGCAGAATTGCTTGGTGTTGTCCTCCCCCCCCACCCCCAACTTTATTGGAATTGGGTGTGGAATTGTAGTGGTACAGGAGAGGCCCTCCTTCCTGAATCAGGCTGTGCTCAAGGCAGCAGGAAGCATTCCTGCTTTGTAGCCTTGTCTCTGTCTGGTCCTCCTCCTGTGTCTGGTCTCTGCTCTGGTCCAGTCTGCTCCCACAGTGCCTGGCAGCCTCACCTCTCAGAGTTACTGGCATTTAACTCTAAACCCTCAGTACATGACAGAGTTCCCCCAGGAGGCTTTAAAAATCCTGGTTTGGGTCCCTTTCCAGACCGGTTAATCAGAATCTCTGGTGGGGGTCCAGGCCTTGTATTTTTCGAGCCTCCTCATTGATAGGTAGATAGCATCCATTGTCTCTGACCTCTGCCTGCCTTGCCCAGGCCTTCCAGTTGAGTCCAGCAGTCGGTTCTCGAGGTGGGGCGTGCAACCTTCATTTCGACGTTCCTGCCAGCAGGCTTTCTTCCACGCTTGAGGCGGGAACCGGCAGGGTCTGGCGATCTTGCTCATTACCATATACTTTCCAGACCCTGTTTTTATTGTATTTGAGCTATGCTTGGATTCTCTTTATGTGGTAAAGGCATTGGTTTGAGAGTTCTTACCACCTCAGGGATAGCAGATGAGGGACAATTTTCACTATTTCAAAGACTTGGAACTTTTGTAAGAAAGTACTGAGTTTATTTATTGTAGGCGAAATATTGTAGGATATCTCATGCTGGCCAGAAGTGTTTGCTGGCGATCTTACGATTATCAAAAGTGATGAACCTGTAGTTACTGTTCAGTGCTCTGTAAGAGGACACCTGTCCTGTTGGCTTCTAGATGTTTGCCCTTTTCTCCAGGACAGCAAGAATGCCTACGTTGGGTTGCGGCCCTGGGGTGGAGTCTGAATTATACAGGATTGGTTAACCCTTTAGGGAAGAGAGTAGGCAGCTTAACTGGTGCCTGGACCCAGGGTGTGCCCAAGGCCTCAGGAGTTTCACACCTGGACTCACTAGGAGATGAAGCACCGGGAAGGGGCTGAGTGTTCAGAAGATAGGTATATGGGCACCCCCCTCCTACCTGCGTTAGGGTTCCACGAGGTGGGACCTGTCGTGATCCCCGAGGGTCCCTGGCTGAGGGAGTAAGGGCGTGGCAGTGCTAGTAAGGAGGCAGAACCTTCAGTGGTGGTTTCCATGGGGGACCCTCATCTCCTTGGCAGTAACCAGAGGGCGGCATTGGTCTGAGGTATACTAGTTAGGACTTTACGGGAGGCCCTTTTTTTGAGTGATCAGATCATTCATTTTGAACTCACATATCTTGGCAACTAAACAAAGAATCCTTCAATAAGACCTTCCCCTGAGTTTTGTTTTTTGTTTCTGCCGCCACCATTCCCATTTGAGGAGGAATGTGAGAACCACTGCCCTGCTTGCATGTGGTGGTTCCATGGCAGTGAGACCGTTTCCTTCTTCTCTGCCAAGAGGGTAGGACTGGGGTATGAGGCTGGGCTGGCTGGCATGTACTTGCTTTGAGACTGGGCTTCCTCCTCTGCTCACTTCCTTCTAAAGATGTTCCTCTGGGGGCGCCTGGGGGGCTCAGTCGGTTAAGTGTCCAACTCTTGGTTTCAGCTCGGGTCATGATCTCATGGTTCGGGACATTGAGTCCCTTGTCAGGCTCTATGCTGACAGTGCAGAGCCTGCTTGGGATTCTCTGTCTCTCCCTTTCTATCTGTCCCTCCTCCACTTGTGTGCACACGCTCTCTTTTTCAAAAATAAATAAATAAACCTTAAAAAAAAAAGATTTTCTTCTGAAGGTGGTGCCAATATGCATAACAAGACGAGATAAAATAATGGTCTGGTGAAGCATTAAAGGAATTTTTGCCTTAATTTTGCCACATTCCACTTTCAGGCCGCAACCCTCTGTTTCAAGAAACCCTTGGGCTTAAGCCTCATGTGCTGGTCCTCAACAAAATGGACTTGGCGGATCTGAAGGAGCAGCAGGTGAAGGTCCCTGTCCCGGGCACCTCCAGCACTAGGGTTGTGTCTAGGGTCACCCTTGCAAGCAGACTCTGTGTTGATTCACTCAGGCAGGCTTGCTTTTTAGCAAACAACCCTTTGTTTGAGGAGGTATTCCCGCCTGATTTCTCAAAATGACCTGCTTCCCTCTAATGTTTAATGTATGGTCCAAATGACCAGAGAGCGCACCTCCCAAAGGAAGTGGCCAGGCTTTGCTGCTGGAGCCAAGTGCCCCACAGGGTGGCCTCTGGCCCCATGCGGCTCTGAGCGCTTGAGATGTGGCTCCTGCTGCAGACACGATACTTGTGTTTTATTTCATTTCAGTTAATAAGTTTCCGTAGCTGTTTGAGGCTGGTGGCCATAGGCACAGGCCACAGGTACTGACCTGGAGGCCTCCTGTGATGGCTGCATTTGGCCCAGGCACCCACACTGGCCAGTTCCATGGCCTTCCAGACACCAAGTGCGCTGGAGGCCCAAAGTAATGTCTTCAAAGCAGGCAGGATCGGGGGACACAAGTGACCAAGTGCAGGGCATGCCCACATGTCCCAGCATATAAGAAACATGAAGGTCTGGGCATATTATTTTTGAGTGTTCACCTCTGCTTTTCCTGCTGTATTATCGAATCCTTCTGGAAGGGCAGGTGTCAGACCCTTGTGGATTCCAGCCTAGCAGTTTTCAGGCTGTTAGTGGCGCAGCGTCCTCTTTGTTGGCAGAGTGCATTCAGGCTTCTCAGTTGGTCGTGGTATGTTTGAATTACTTAGACCCCAACCACAAGTCTCTGTCACAAGGTTTCCAGGGGAACATCAAATATAGGAGCTCTTTGTTTGCTGAGAATCCGAGCAGAGGCCACCCCTAACCCACGTGCGGGTACCTCTGGTCATTTAAATCCCTTCTGCTGTGCAGGACGGGAGGTGGACAGCTCCAGAGCCCCCAGAACAAGGTGTTCATGGGCTTCACTGCACGCATGCTCTACTAACTTAGCATCACAAGCTTTGCTTTCATTGGTTGAGACTTGAGTCTTACCAGCGATTGCTTCTGGCCTTAAGTGCTAATCTTTGTGGAGTGTTGGGCACATAAGGTGACCTAACATAGGGACACAGTGGTGTCTCAACTGGTTGGGAGGCGGCGGGAGTGTGTGCTCCTCCTCTCAGGTGCTGCTGTGGGCAGAGGAGAGGAGAGGAGAAGGCCCCAGGGATGGCCCTTCATGTCTGCCTCTGGGGGTGGGTGGGGACATCCCATGTGAATGTATACACTTCAAAGCGTGGCTTCAAATATGTCTTTGTTGTGGCCTGTATCCTTATCTGTATCATCATAACGAACAACTGAAATATATAATGAAAATTAAGTTAGCAAATGACTTTTGGTTCATTTAGGCATTGACCATGTTTTAGGTCAGTACGTGGTCAAACAATATCATACCGGTATTAAAAACTATGATTCCTACACTGATTTCACTTAATGTTAAGACCAATAAATTCATATTAACCTTAGTTTACTTTTGAGCTTTTAAAGCGTTGCATGTACTTTGTACTTGGATTAGGGCTGGGTTTACAATGGTCATTTTGTGAGAGCTCGTCAGAATACTCAGGACTAAGCAGATCACTGAATGCAGCCAGAAGTGGCTCATTTTCCATGGAGGTACCTGTGTCCCGAGAGGACAGCCAGTGTCTGTGCTGAGCCCTCATGCTCGCTGGAGCCTGCAGCTTGTGGACCCCTGCCCAGGGCACTTCCTTCCTGTGCTCACACTGGAGCCTCCTCTATGGTCTGTGCTGTCCACAGGGCCCCCTCGCCTGGAGCACGCCTGGCCCGGGTCGGCGTGGGGCTTCAATCTCAGATCCTTGGATTTTAGCATATCACATCCACATTTTCATTTAGTTTTTAAAATGGAAATATCGTACCCCAATGTTTATAGCAGCACTCTCAACAATAGCCAAATTATGGAAAGAGCCTAAATGTCCATCAACTGATGAATGGATAAAGAAATTGTGGTTTATATACACAATGGAGTACTACATGGCAATGAGAAAGAATGAAATATGGCCCTTTGTAGCAACGTGGATGGAACTGGAGAGTGTTATGCTAAGTGAAATAAGCCAGACAGAGAAAGACAGATACCATATGTTTTCACTCTTATGTGGATCCTGAGAAACTTAACAGGAACCCATGGGGGAGTGGAAGGGAAAAAAAAAAAAAAAAAGAGGTTAGAGTGGGAGAGAGCCAAAGCATAAGAGACTCTTAAAGAGAACAAACTGAGGGTTGATGGGGGGTGGGAGGGAGGGGAGGG